AAAAAAAAAAAAAAAAAACAGAAAAACAAAAAAAGGGGGAGGGAAAGAAGGAGAAGAAGAACAGGTGTGAGTATGTGAATAGATGCACTATCAACGCAAACCTGGAAGAGCAGATGTTTAATTGTCTTCTGCACAGACAGCAGGACTGACGGCCCAGTGACCAGACAATGGGACGGACCCACCACAGAGGCGCTAGTGCGGTGGTGACCAGCAAAAAAGTAACGACAGCAGCCGGATTTGAACCGACGCCTCCGAAGAGAATAGATTTCAATACTGATTCAAGTCTATCGCCTTAACCACTCGGCCATACTGCCTTCGACGAATAGCACTTCCGCCACTCAGGTATATGAATGCAAAGTCACCTGAGCATTACCATAGTGCGAGCGTTTGTCCTCCTATCTTTTGCTAGTCTAATCGAGCAATTGAAAAATGCCGGTGTGGGTTTGACTTGGAGATAGTGCAGCTCCTTTGTTTGTCAATGGTGTAGCGCATGTAGCGGATTGAATAAGTCAACAGTGCCCACCTTATCCATCTACGGAGCATGGTATGGATACTCCATAGTTTACTATGTACCTAGTAATTTAGTGATAAACAGTCGCTCTAGACTTTCCGGTTCTGATTGGGCTTGTCAATAGTGTGTTGGCTTGCATCTATCATCATGAGCAACTGATTATGTTGGCTTCCGGTCAGTGCTACTTTCCCATTACTGTATGACGTGTGCTGTTTGCCGGCAGCAGGAGCACCAGTTTTGCGGCCATCAATACCCCCGCCTGCTGGACTGTATCTACCACTGCTTTGTTCATATACTGCGGCGGCAATACATGGGGGGTCCATTAGTCTATGCGATGATGGGTCGGGACGCAAAAAAACGACAACAGTCGGATTTGAACCGACGCCTCCGAAGAGAATAGATTTCTAGTCTATCGCCTTAGACCGCTCGGCCATATTGTCATCCCATAATTTTCGAACGCATTAGTTGAAATCATGTTCTCAAGCAAAAACTGTCGGAGTAACAAAGCATCACGGGGTATTCTTCATATATGTACGGAGACATCTGCGATATAGCTGGTGGTAGTAACTGTAGAGTATGCTGTATATTGCTGTGTCTCTTGCATGGCTACTGAAGTATCCTGGCTGTGCTGTCTCTTCACACGTCTGGATAACTTAGGCGCCGGTTTCGGCACTCGTCGTCCGCTATATATCTACGGCGGGCTGCCCATGTGGCATGCACCTGCGTGCTTTGTGTTGGATGAAACAGACACCGACAACTGCACAGACACTGGGATGAATCAAGCCCGCATCACCACCAATACACAGAGCCCCAACCTGACCACACTGACACAATCTCACCACACCACCCAGCATCACGCCCACAACCACAGCAAGAGTGGCAGCCCACCTCCCCCACTGCTCCAAGAATCCCACATAACAGATGTCGTCTGGAAAAGAACAAACCCAAAGGACAAAACACCACACCGCGCCCCTCCCATCCAAATTCTGACCTCCCCGATACGCCCCAAGGTATCGCAGCAAAGGTAGTAACCCGGCCGAACCAGTCATCATCACATGCACCTGGGTGTATCGAGCATGTGAAAGTCGAAGCAGCTCCCCATTCCCCCGCCCTCTTCACCCTTGCCCCGATATCGCAATCATACAGAGGTTTACTCGGAGCAATACCAGTCTACCACGAGATACCAGAGAAACGGACGTCACCTCACTGGCATGAGGACGGGCGGTGGCATACCCGCTGCGATTGCGGAAGAGTGTGCCGCTTGCCCGGCCTGGTAGATGACCGAGCACAGTACGCATGGCCAATAGCCGATAGATATTACAACGAGAGAATGAAAGAAGACCGCGACATCCAAGCCACATTAGAACTGATAGAACCACAACTAGACCAACAGCGTGACCATAAAAGCCGCAATAGAGTTTGCCCCCAAGGCATCCGAAAATTGAACATCATAAGATCATCACCGCATTAGAACATGAATAAGCAGGGGACCGAACAGACGACCGCATCACCTCCTCGCCCCGGTATTTGAAGCCCGGCCATAGGATGCGCTCCCCGCGGCACTGTACGCGGGTGGCGGGGTCGGAGTCGGCGACGGCGCTCTCCCTCCGTAGGAGGCCTGTGCCTGACTGCCACTTGCTTGAGCAGGGAGTTCACCGCCATCACCGGTACCAACAACCACCTGCTTGCCGTCACGCATCCGCCCAACAACCATGCCCTTGGCGACAGACTTGAGGAAAGCCTTGCGGCTGACACCCGAGGCATCGATGTAAACCAGCCCGACGTTCTTAACACCGCCGGTCAAATTGGATGCCACAGCCCCGGCCTGATCCCCGTAGCGGTGTCCAATCATAGTGGTGGCAGCGTTCGAGCTAGAGGTCAAGACGTGCCGAGCACCCTGCTCAATGCCGTCCGCCAGAGTCGAGAACGCGATCAAGGATTTATTCAGAACCCCGGGCTTATACTCACTGCCATACTTATCGATACCCCTTTGTCGCTCCGTGTTGTTCCGGCGGGCCAGCGATGCCCCAATACCTTGGGCATATCTCCCAACCTGGCCGACAGTTTTGGCCGAGAGATCGGCGGCGCCCTCAGAAAAGGTGCCAACCTTGCGGATGCGCGAGTGGGTGGTCTCCGAAAAGGTCATCGGCTTCGGGTTTGGCCTTGTCTTCCTTGTGAAGGTGTCGGCACCACTCGTAAGCGCATTGGCCAGGTATGTAGACCCGGTAACAATCAAACGCGAAGCCTTCGCAGAAGTCTGGACGATGGTCGACTTCTGGTAAGCCGGGTGACGTGCCATACGCAGATACTCCTCGGACACGTTGCAGACATTGACTTTGTTGCCTTCGCCTTCGGAAGGAAGCTCAATCTCCACGGGCCCTAGTGAGGTTAGGATTATGTTGCGACCACGGATATCGGAACTAAGCCGTGCAGTATAGAATCACCTACTCTTCGAGCCGGGTTTGATGTCCGGCCTTTCCACAACGTCATAGCCCTCCATCTCACCCACCACACTGCCATCCTCCTCATCGACCAGAACAATCCTACCATGCGCATCACCCCCGGGAGAAGCGGCAGAAGAGACATATCCCTCACCGGGCGCATACGTCGAGGGGTTGTATGGAGCATGGTCCCCAGCTGGAGGTGCGCGGTCGAGGAATGCAGTGCATTGAGCGAGGATCGTCTCAAAGGTGTCAATATCCTCCTGTGTCACCTTGTCAGGCCCATGTCCGATCGAGGGAAACTGGATGCGAATAAAGGCTCCCGCATCAGGACCCAGATCCCAACGAGGGATTAGGTAGCTATTCGGCGGCTGGTGGAAAATCTGGGTGGTAGCGGGGAGAGCCAAATCCAGCTCCGGTGGCAAATTTAGATGAAGATAGAAATCTTCCTCTGTGAGTGCATCCTGGGAGGACACGGGGAACGAGCTTCCGGGGATAGCGGTCTTGGTCGGAACCATCAACAGGGAAAGTGTTTGCGGCCCCGACGGAGTGAGCTCTGACTCCTCGCCATTCTGGATGTGAAAGGCTCGAATGTTGTCTATACTGTATAGAAGTCTTGGGTCATGCAGGGTCGAAGCCATGGCTGCAACTCCGTTGACTCTGGACCGGTTGTGACGAGGGGTTAAGGTTAAAGAAAAAGCGCGAGGGCTGTCGACGTCAGGTGGGGACAAGGTGTCGGTAATGTGGGGGAGGGAAGCCGATAATGGACCAGACACAGTCGCGATGAAGGTGAAATAGGTGATGAGGATTGAATCAAAGGGGTAATTCTCAAGTAGGCAGAGAACGGAAGAATTGATAGAAACCTGCTGGCACCTGGGAGGGAGGCCATAAATAGCTAGACACAGCGCCCCTGTCCCTCATGGCTGGCCAAGTCCGTCATGGGGGAGGGGTGAGTGCCGCCAATGTGGGATGGATCCATCAGGGAATGAAATGAATGAATGGATGGATGAATGAACGTCAGACCCTGGAATGACATAAGCACCCTCACGCCTCCTGGCGCCTGCTGCGCCACACGTCAATCATCTCATACACCGCCACCGATTGATAAGGCGAGCTGTGAGTGGTTGGGAAAGGGCAACAACTGACCTACTACCAGTACCTACACAGGCCCAACGTACCTGATGTGTACAGTACGTCCACTTTTCACCACCACCCCCAACGATTCCAATAGAAGAGCGTCCCAAGAGGCGAATTGTCCAAGCCCTTCCAATCGAGACTTTGAATCGCCTAAAATCACTATCCGTGGTAATTGAGACCGACCAGCGGCTACAAGGACCTTTTTTCTTTTTTTAGTATCCCCCCAGCGCTTAAGCACTGGCCTCCGACCGTATCCCAGTAAGTCGTTGAGCTACTACTAGCCAGCCCATCCTATAAGCGATCTGGACATCGAATCGCCCTGAGCCAGCGCTTCCTTCTCCTCCGCAAGCATGGCACAGTTCCAGATTCTTTCCGACCTACACCTCGAGAACCCGCGAGCATACGACCTCTTCGGAATCACCCCGACCGCGCCCTACCTAGCCCTGCTGGGTGACATCGGCAACGTCAAAGATGATGGCTACCTGCAATTCCTCGAAGCCCAGCTCCACCGCTTCAAGATCGTCTTCCTCGTCCTGGGCAACCACGAGCCCTTCGATGCCAGCTGGCCGGCCACACGCGAACGCCTGCAGCGATTCTCCGAGGAGATCCAGGATCGGCGCCAAAGGGCGGCGACGACGTCGTCGCAGTTGGGGGAGTTTGTCCTCCTCGATCGCACGCGGTACCGCCTCACGCCCCAGGTGACAGTCCTGGGATGTACATTCCACTCGCGCGTGAGTGAGGCTCAGGAGGAGACCGTCAGCCACGCCCTGAACGACTTTCACTACATCCAGGACTGGACGGTCGAGCAGCACCGTGCGGCCCACGAGGCCGAGCGTGCCTGGCTCAACGACCAGGTCACCGACATCGCCCGAGACGATCCGCATCATCGCATCGTCATCTTCAGCCATCACAGCCCGACCGTCGCGGTGGCGGCCGTGGACCCGCGCTACGCCGACAGTCCGATCACGTCGGCGTTCGCGACGGACCTCATCGGAGAGCCGTGCTGGGAGCGACCGCAGGTGCGCCTGTGGGCGTTCGGGCATACACATTACAACTGCGACTTCACGGACGATCGGTCCGGAAAGCGGATCGTGGCGAACCAGAGGGGGTACTACTTTGCGCAGTCCATCAAATTCGATCCCGCCAAGGTGTTTTGCGTGTGATTGGGTATCTAGCGTTGACGACTTTGAAAGTCTTTTTCTGTTTGATTTGGAGTTTTGGTTTTTGATTTGATTTGTTTTTGTTTTTGTCTTTTGATATATAGATTAGTATAGTATATTCATAGCGACAATAGAGCATAGCGCTTCCATTCCTGTGGTAACGCTGCGAGATGCAAGATGATGTTGTCCCACAACGTGCGGGGGGAATGGAATGGTGAAGAACGAATGTCTTTGTCGAGCGGATGATCTGCAGTTGGATTAAACCAACCCATGGGAACGCCGCGTTTAGCCGAGGCTCGAAATACCTCGGCCTCGTGATCCCCGGCCATTTCCCCAGAACGCTGGCTTCCCTTTCCCCGTTCCCCATTTCTGTTCTCCTCGCTATCTCCTTGACACGCACCTCAAAGGAACCCCCCTCCCCCCCCGCCATTCTTATCTCCTGCTGAATTCAGTTTTGCTTCGTTATTAGCCAGCTAAAATATACCCAGTATACCACACTCCCACAACCACAATGACGAGTCTCTCCCGCGTATTGCGGCCTTTGTCCCGCACCGCTGCTTCCGCCCGCCTTATCACGACAAGACAGCCGATGCGGAACCGAGTTCTTCCTAGGTATGAGGTTTTACGCGAGGTGTCCAACCACTGGCATGGAACTCAAGAAATTAACCGGGACATTCCGTCCGATCAGTAGTACCCAAGCATTCTCCACCACGTCCCGCCGGCGGGACGTCGACCTTTCCGGGCTGACGCCGACCCCGATCACCTTCCTGTCCGAGACGGAGTCCCTGATGGCGGAGAGCGTGTCCAAGTTCGCGCAGGAGCAGATCAGCCCGAAGGTGCGGGAGATGGACGAGGCGGAGACGATGGACGCGGCAGTGGTGGAGCAGCTGTTCGAGCAAGGGCTGATGAGCATCGAGATCCCCGAGGAGTACGGTGGGGCGGGGATGAACTTCACGGCGGCGATCGTGGCCATCGAGGAGCTGGCGCGTGTCGACCCCAGCGTCAGCGTGCTGGTCGACGTCCACAACACCCTGGTCAACACCGCTATCATGAAGTACGGCGACGCCCAGGCCCGCCGCACCTGGCTGCCCCGGCTGGCCACCGGCACCGTGGGCTCCTTTTGCCTCTCGGAGCCGGCTTCCGGATCCGATGCCTTCGCCCTGCAGACCAAGGCCGAGAAGACCGCCGAGGGTTACAAGCTCAATGGCTCCAAGATGTGGATCACCAACGCCATGGAGTCCGGCATTTTCATCGTCTTCGCCAATCTCGACCCCAGCCAAGGGTACAAGGGCATCACCGCGTTCATCGTCGAGAAAGATACTCCCGGCTTTTCGATCGCCAAGAAGGAGAAGAAACTCGGCATCCGCGCCAGTAGTACCTGTGTGCTCAACTTTGATGATGTCGTCATCCCGAAGAGTAACCTCTTGGGCGAGGAGGGTCAGGGATACAAGTACGCAATTAGCGTGCTGAATGAGGGTCGCATTGGTATTGCGGCTCAAATGACCGGCCTAGCGCTGGGAGCTTGGGAAAATGCTGCTCAGTAAGAGGATCCCCCCCCCCCCCCCCCCCCCCATTCCTAACAAAATTATCTTCCCATCGCTCAGAATCTCCACCGTATCTTTTATTTTACTTCCGGCACCAAGCGCTCTGCAGGGATCAATTCGCTGACCATGTCCGATACAGGTACGTCTGGAACGACCGCCGACAATTCGGCCAATTGATCGGCAATTTCCAGGGCATGCAGCACCAGCTGGCCCAGGGGTATACCGAGATTGCCGCCGCCCGGGCGCTGGTCTACAACGCGGCTCGGAAGAAGGAGGCCGGCCAGGATTTCGTCCACGACGCCGCCATGGCCAAGCTGTACGCCTCGCAGGTCGCCGGGCGCGTGTCCAGCTCCGCGGTCGAGTGGATGGGCGGAATGGGCTTCGTACGCGAAGGCATCGCCGAGAAAATGTTCCGGGACAGCAAGATCGGGGCGATCTACGAGGGCACGAGCAACATCCAGCTGCAGACCATCGCCAAGCTGTTGCAGAAGCAGTACACTCGCTAAAAGTGCTCAGGTTGTATGTGGTGCTTGACAATCAGCATTGGCCGTAGTCAGTAGTGCTAACTGGTAACGAATATATTCGAACTACTACGTACCAAACTTGGCTCTAGAGTCCTAGACTCACTAGATTGAAATGGCGTGATTGGATTAAGCTCCACTTCCGCGGAAAAGGGCCTTCTGCTCGTCTTTTCTACCTCTTTTTTTTCTTTTTTTTGGGTTCCCTCTCTCTGTTCAGTGTTGTCTGTTCCTAGTTGCGGGTTGGGAAAGCGGGCCCCGTCTTTTTTGGAGCTCTTCAAACTCCAAGTCTCGGGGTCGATTCTTCTTCGAGGCTTAGCCTGGGAAAATAGGAAAGGAACCTTCCCCTCCCATCGGAAATCAGAACCGATCTACTACCGTAATTGCGGATGCATGTATGAGTATTTGACAAGTGCGCAATTGTGAAGGACGCCCCCCCGGTAATCCTCTAGTCTAGTAAGCGATAGAAAATGCCAGAACAGGCCCCCATCATGTTCGTCTAATCCGATCGGAAGCGGGTTACATGAATGCATACAAAAGGGAAATTGATCATCGTGGGAGGATCGTGGGACGGGGCCCATCGGCTGGAGCCGATAGTCAGCCGTGAAGTCTTTATCCAATAATGTAGCACAAAAGGTGAAAGGTCCTGGAGATAATAATGGAATTGAATCCCACGGGAAGAGATTTTGGATTTCGGCATGGTTCAAATTTCGATCAAGCACTTTGGAGGAGTCCCGTCAGCCCCGGCACTTCAGGTGATGCTTTGCATCAAGCACAAATCTTTTGTTGTCTATTCCTGGGTAGCTCGTGGCTTGTGTGCAGAGCCTCAAGGTGGTGTTGATGATAATGACTCGGATGGTGCACCTGCACCCGGGTACGTGGGTTTTGTAACCGGCTCCTCCCCGAGCCGGGCTCCGGCCCAGTACCGTGGTTTGCTCCATTCGCGCCATTCACATTCCGGAAATTTGGTAATAGCAAGTGGGTTTTGATTTCACCCTCGCTTCTCGAACAAACGAATCTTGCAGCCTTGCATAATGTTAACTTTCGCTTATCTCTGACTCTGCGGACTTGGTCATACATCCTTTTTCTGGACGCGCACTCGCGCACATCGTCCCGATCATGCCGGTGAAAGATGTGCCAAGCTCGTGGCGTATCTCCGTCGAAAAAGTCAGGGATGCTGTGCCAGAGCTTTGTTAGGCCTGCCTGACAAGCCGACCTCCCGGGCGCTTTAGTCCGAAGGCAGGGTTGCGGGGAGGGGTGGTCTGGATAATCTCACGGCTGCTGCAAGATCCCGGAGACCGAGCAGTCAAATCCAAACTCGGACCAATCTTTTAATCCAAATCACTGGGCATTATCCGCACCCTTTCCCGCTGGACAAGGGAGACGAGTGGGTTTCATCGCTTGCCACGGATCATATTATGCTGGATGGTGTAGCCTCTGCGAGCCTCTTCTGATTCTTCAAAAGTCACGATTGATGATGGCTCCAGTCATAGCTATACTCGCTCCTCGGTTGTGTCGAATGTGACGGGATGGTATGCTCGTGATATTGCTGTGGTGCCTGGACAACAGGATACCCCGATGATTCTCTTTCTGAAGAACAAGTTGGCACCGACATCGATCGTTGACCTGGAACACAGGGTATTTGGGGTTGGGTGTGGTGTGAGCTCTCCTGCCCGAGACCACGGATAGCCTCGGGGTGGTAGCCCTGCGGGTAAGGCGGGTAACCCGAATCAGGAGGCTGGGCCGGTTGTGCACAGAGGGAAGAATTGTAACTAATATGGGCTGAAGCGACCGGTAGCGGGTTGGGCGCTTGAATGTGACTTTCATAGACATATGGCTCGAGCCTAGCCCCATAGCTTGTGTCCGAAGGTTCCCCTACGGAAGATGTCCGAGCTGAACCGTATGGTTGCCACTCAGGAGCAATGGATGTTCGACTTGATGTGGACAGTACCGAGGCCGCCCTGGAAGCTGGATTCAAGCTCAAGGAGTCCGGGAGATGAGGTGAAGGTAGCATGGACCCGGAGGGAGTGCTGTATGAGCCATCTGACAAGCAATAAACATGATGATCAGCAATTGGGGCATGATGGCCTATAGGGAGGGATACACTTCGTCACTCACCCAGGCTTGAATGACCCTGCCTGCCTGTGGCCAAGGCTAATTGGTGTCTTAGAGAACGAATCTCCATCTCCATTGCGGTATTTCGTCGGACTATCTCGTCGAACCGGTCTCCTTTGATTTTCAGCTCAGCCACCTGATGCTCTAGACGCTCGATATGCTCCTTTGTCCGCTGACGAATTGTTCTTTGAGCCTCACGGTCATTGGCACGCTTCCTTTCTAGTTGCTCGGCAGAGAGCGACGTCACTTTCCGTGCTCCAGCACGCGATTCGCGTTTCTTCGTCTGCGGAGGTTCCGGGGCAGGGCTCATTCTGCTAACCGACTCGTAGCCAGCTTGATAGTCTCAGTGATCAAAGAAGCGACAGTCATATGGGACAGGAATATATGTGAATGGGGGTGCGATAGGCCCCAGAGGAAGACAGAAGCAGAGAAGTTGGAGAGAAGCAGTTCTCTCAAGATGCGACTATAGCTGTTCCGAATGCGTGGGTCGCACTAAACTAGCTATATATATGTTTCCAGCGGGACAAGAAGGAGCCACCAGATTTTAAACAAAAACAAGACAGGCGGTTAAGATAAGTTAGTAATCGTTGTTGAGAATTATGGTTAGGAAATGGACCCATTTTGGCTCGGGCTGTGAAGCCCCATTCCGGAAGGCCGTCAGATTCGCGCGCAGGTTTAGGCACGTAAACTGTAAAGGTAAAGCCCCCTCCGGGGGGAACCTTAGTAGATCGTGTACATAGCAAAACGAGGGAATAATTTTAAGACTAAGAGGGGAGAAGAGGATCCCCCCCGCCTGCTGTCCTCTGTGAAATTCTTCCCAACATTACTGGTCATTCCCAATGGTCTTCTTTTCTAGCCTCTAACAGGGCCAATGAGTAAGGCTTTGTCACTAAAATCCCTGTATAGTAGGTCAGTAGTAAGTAGTCAACACGCTATTATGACGGGGTTGTTCCGGCGCTGCGCTATGTGTGCTTTGCCGACCTCCGCCTCCCCCCCCCCCCCCCCCCTCCCCCTCCCTCTCTCTTCCCAACCTACTAACCTACAAGCATACTCCAAAGCTCTCCGGGAGGGAGGGGGGAGGTGACTAGGCAGACTAGAGATTAGACATCCTAGCCGGGGTTTGTGATGGAATGGCTGGTGCGACGGACTGCGTCGCCCCTCTCCCTCGTCAGGTGCCCGACACTGCTAAACACCGCTGCATCGTATCAGACCAGATGAAAGCAGATCTGGCAGGGTGTCATTTGTCCTTGCAGCACTGACTGAAAGCAGCATTGTCGGAATAAAAGCATCCAGAGAGCATTGTCCCTCCCACAGGTAGAGGTTAGCCAATCGGTGGATCTTAGTCTATCCGGGCCACATGGCAACCCCGATTGAGCGGCGGATACGGCCCTCTGAGCGGGAACAAAAGAAAACCTCAGTATGTCATGGTCTCGCCAGAAAAAAAAACATTCACGGGCTTGAATTGGCTTTTGAGAGCCTCTTGGCAACTTTGTCTCCGACAGGTTGGGAGCTGACCGAAGAACAAAAAGTGGCAATCGAAGGGGGGGGAAGGGGGCCGCTCCTAGGGCGATGGGGCATCGCTGGGGCACAACCGACCTTCTCTGTAAGGGTTGGAAGCAGGCCAGCGGACCTGGAACAGTGGGCTTGAATGGGCGAAGCGTGTGAGAAGTAGCAGGAACCACGTACGTACCGAAGCTCCGAATGCACAGTTCTGGCGATCTGCGACCTCTGTAGTGGAATGTGCTGCGCAGTCAGCGAATCTTAGATCTCAGCCGGCAATCAGCATGAATGACAATTGGCTGAACGTGGACCCTTCTAGTGTCTAGCCTTGTGATTGTGAACGAATTGCGCATCCCTCGTCTTAGCGCCAGTGAGACTTACTGAGTAAGATCTAACCTAATCCCAAAAGGGTGAGCTATTTCCGAAACCCGAAATCTCCGCGACAAGATTTTTTCCGGATTTGGTGGGAGTTGAGAGAAGTTGCGAATGTCTCTCCCAGTTTCAGTGAAATCACTAAGCTCTCGCTAAGCCGGTTCCATGGTTGCATCTGAATGGTGCTCGCCACGAGGATGAGTAGATCGGATCCACCCCTCAACCCCCTTATCTTAGCCTCCTTGAAATGAGAACTCGATTCGCTGAACCGAACGGAGACGAGGAGAACTTTAAAAGGTCAATCGGGATACGGCGAGGAGCCGAAAAGGCTGGAACTCGTATAATAGAAGCCCATCGAATAATCGCAGAAGCACGATTTCTCGGCCGTAGCGCATCGCCGCATTCGTGGTGACCTGTACTAACTGCTGGTGCCGGTCTGAACAGCAGGCAAGCTTCAAGACAAGCCAGCGTTGATCTGCGACGAATTGGAATACGGATGGCTGATTTCTAATGCATGACGCATGGTCTCTGTCTGCTGTTCAGTGAGCACTGGGTTAATGCTGAAATGCCTCCGATTTTGTTTCGAGACTCGTCTCGTATGCCGTTAGTCCTAAAGACTGCAGCACCAGAAGGATGAGAGAGACCCTGTCGCGACCACTGCTGCGACGACTACCGATCATCATCCGCCCAGAAGAAGCTTCCGGCAAAAGCAACCGATTTCAGAAATCCAAAATAGAACGATGAATTGAACTGAAGCCAAGGAGCAGCCTCTGAGCCAGCCATGACGTGGGTGCGACTTCGATCGAATACCGGCTATTGGTGGCGAGGGGCTAGGAGTTCGGAGAGTGATCTCATCGATTGAACAATACTAGAGAGCCTTGCAGTTGCGCTGATAGCAGCTGCATAGCATCATTTCAGGCTGCATCGTGGTGAGACCTGGTAGAGCAGTAGTAGGACAGTCTTGTCCGAATTTCGATCGATTTTGCAGGAGTCTCTCCACCGTCCAACGCCAGAAGCGCCACTGCGCCTTTGAAGAAATCCATGACGGCCTCGTTTCGAGCATGAGAGCATGCAGAGCTACGCAGCCTACGACTGCGTACATGGTCACGCCCCGGAGAACCTCCGTTGCATCCTTGTTACGTTCCCTGCTCCCATCGTATTCGAATATCCCGTAATTCCCTAGAACTATAGGGCTGGGTGTCCAATTTATGAAGCTGGAGCAGAACGCAGGGAATGTTCATACACACCCTGATCAGCACGAGAAGGCCCAAAAGCCGTGCATCATAGCCGTGGGCATGATCGTTGCCTTCTATCTATTGCACGTGTTCGAGCACCTTGTCCTAGATTCCTTTGTGCGCTTCGTGGCTCAAGTGAGGGGTGTAAGGTGTAAGATGTACGTCGTAGACATCGACTAATCTGCTGGGTGATGCAAGCTCATCGGACTTGATTTAGAGACAAGACAATGCAGACCAGGTCATGACGACACTAATAACAGGCGACCGCTATAGACCGGGGTGTGTCAGCTCGCTATCAGGCCGTTGTCTCGTGATCTACGCAGGGAATCAAAAGGATGAAAGAAGACCATGCGAGAGATGGTAAAAGCCGGGAAACACACGAGGGTGTGTTCTAGCTTGATCAATTGTCTGAAGATAACAAGAGCGCTGTTTGTTGTGATGTTATAAAAAAACCGGGCGACAGAAAGGCGGGGAGACCCGGCGCCGCGGACAATTGTACTTACCTGATTTGGCCATTTTGGACTCGGCAGCCAGCCAGTTGTTGTTATGCTTCTGCTCTCCGCCTTCATTTCATTCATCAATTATTCACAACCCACTTGTCCCCCCATTCTCAACAACAAACACCCACACTAATGCAAGATTAACTTCTGGCTTCTCTTCAAGGCGCTCAGCGATTATCAGCCTATGGATCCGAGCTACAAAGCCCGTAAGGAGGCTTTTGTGTCCAATCTAACCGGTGGAAGCATCTTCGAGATTAATGCGGTGACCTTGGTAGCTCCGGTATGTTGTGTACACATGTCCAAAATTGCCCCAGTGTGTACTAATCTTCAAACTCAACCTGCCTCATCTCACCTCATCTCGTTTCTTCTCTTTCTCTTCTGATTCATGATATCTTCTAGGCCGCTATCTTTCTTTGGTCCGTCCTCCAATCCCGCCTTTGCTTCTTCTCTCCATACACTCCCGCGGCGCTGGTCACCGATTTCCTACTCAATATCCTTGCGATTCTCTTTGCAACCACCGTGTATTCTGCAGCACCATGGACTCTAAACGCTCTTCTCCTCGCTCCGGCTCTACTGCTGCTGCTCAATTCACGACCCCAACCCGCTCAAAAAAAGGCCAAGCCACCGCCGCATGCTTCGATATCGAAGAAAAGTGAATCCGAGCCCGATCACTCCCTCCCGATTCTCCCTTATCTGACAACCTATCGGGCATGTATGATGGTCATCACCTGTGCTGCCATTCTGGCCGTGGACTTCCGTGTGTTCCCTAGGAGATTTGCCAAAGTCGAAAATTGGGGAACCTCGCTCATGGATCTGGGAGTTGGGTCGTTTGTGTTCTCTGGAGGGGTGGTCTCGGCTCGCTCAGTTCTCAAGCGTCGTCAAATTGGAGGCCCGAAGAAGTCTCTGGGTCAGCGACTGGTGGCCTCGACCCGCCACTCCATTCCTCTGCTCGCCCTGGGTCTGATCCGACTGTACAGTGTCAAAGGTCTCGACTATGCTGAGCATGTGACAGAATATGGCGTGCATTGGAACTTCTTTTTCACCCTAGGCTTCTTGCCTCCCTTCGTTGAGATCTTTGACACCCTCGCTGCGCTGGTCCCAATTTACGAGCTCTTGTCCCTTGGGGTTGCGGCTTTGTATCAGGTGGCTCTGGAATCCACTGACCTGAAGAGCTATATACTGGTCGCTCCCCGGGGACCCGACTTGCTCTCCAAGAATCGGGAAGGGGTGTTCTCGTTCGTAGGGTATTTTGCGATCTTCCTGGCTGGCCGGGCCATTGGCATCAGGATCATGCCGCGCGGCACATCCCCGTCCACCACCCCGCAACAGGCCAGGAAACGCGTGCTAGCTACCTTGGGAGGCCAGGCTCTGGTTTGGACCGGGATATTCCTGCTCAACTCGACGTATGCGTTAGGCTACGGCGCAAATCTTCCGGTGTCGCGGCGCCTTGCCAACATGCCATACGTAGTATGGGTGTCGGCTTTTAACAACGCACAGCTTTTCGTGTTCTGTCTCCTGGAGACAATCTTCTTCCCATCCGTCCATCGGACCTTGGGAAGAGAGGGCGAAGCGGAGCGGGTCTCCTTTGCAACCAGCCCGATCCTTTCGGCCTTCAACAAGGGTGGACTGGCGGTGTTCTTGGTGGCCAACCTTCTCACCGGCGCGGTGAATCTTAGCGTTCCTACCTTGGACCTCAATACCGCTCAAGCCATGGCCATTTTGATTGGGTATCTCGCAATCCTGACGGGGGTTGCACTGGGGCTGGACGGGGCTGGTATCAAATTGGCACTCTGACGCGCGAGAAAGAAAGTGCAAATATTGTATTAGATGATGAGTGTATATGGATCAATCCGACAAAATTATAGTGCTTCTCACTGATCCACCAGAGAAATGAATGATGGTAGATTGTCCGGTTGATTTAGCATCGAAGCACATGGTGAGCCGCGGCTCCGCAGACAAAGGAGGAGCTCATGTGGGGAATTAATTTGGCTCGACGGGTTTGAGCGGAGCCACTACGTAGTTACGGAGTACGTACTGTACTTCTTCTTCCTTCCACCCCACCCACCTTCTCTTCTTCATACTCTTTTTCGCACTCTCTAAACCTCGAATGTGTCACTGAACTTACGCGCATCATGAGCGCAAAACCCCAATTCTTCCAATATCCGGAAGTACGCGAAGGCCCTTCCGTCCCCTATAAAAATGAAGACCAAGTGATCCCAGTCTTCCGAGGCATGCCTCTAGCAATTGGAGCGAGCCTGTAAGCTACAACTGTCTTCCTCTACCTATCGCTGCCACCGAGTGATTTCCAGCCTGTGCCTTCAGCCACCTTCTTTTCCCCCAGCGCGCGCCTTCAAAAACAAGGATAAGAAGAGCTAAGCCACCTCAAACCGTGCAGGATCCAGCACGTCGGCTTCATCCAGGACTACTTCTGGCGCAATGCCGGCTTCAACGTCATCCGCGTCCTCCCTCTCGACGACTATGCCCCGCGCTACGACCCCACCGTGATTCCGGTCCTCGACTGCGCGACTTCATCATCATCATCATCGGCATCAACTACGACGACGACGACCGTACCACTACCCGTCCCGACCCAGAGACGGAAAGATCACACGGGGTACTACACCTCCACCGACTATGTGGCTCTATATCAGTCGGGGCAATTGACGCCCTCGGCCGTGGTCGAGGCCTTGTTACCCCTAATCCGGCGCGATGTGGACTCCGCAGAGGAACAAAAGGGCGGCGGCAAACACTCGGTCGCGTTTCTAGAGTCGCAGGCCGAGCGGGTTCGGGCGGCCGCGGCGGCGTCGACGCAGCGGTACAAGGCGGGCCAGCCGCTGGGGCCGATGGATGGAGTGCCCGTGGCCGTCAAGGACGAGGTGCACCTGGAGGGATACCAGCGGACGCTGGGCAGCAAGATCGACTTCAAGGGCAAGTATCAGGGGACCTCATGGTGCGCGAAGCAATGGGAAGATGCGGGAGCGATCATCATCGGGAAGACGACCATGCATGAGCTGGGGCTAGGTAATTCCTCCCTTCTATCTTCTCTCGATAAGAGATCAAGAGAGACCTGACAAGAAAACCAACACACCGTCCAGATACGAACAACAACAACCCCAATTACGGGACCCCGCGCAATCCCCACAACCACGACTACTACTGCGGCGGCTCATCTGGCGGCTCTGGCTACGCCGTCAGCGCCGGTCTGGTGCCCATCGCCCTCGGCGCCGACGGCGGTGGGTCGATCCGTATCCCTTCCTCCTTCTGCGGAATCTGGGGGTTGAAGCCCACGCACGGCCGCATCAGCGGCACGCCGACCGTCTCACTGGCACCGACGGTGGGCGTCTACGGCCCGATGGCCAGCAGCCTCGACGACCTCGCTCTGGCCTATCGCATCATGGCAACGCCCGCTCCCGCAGCCCAGGACCCCATCTCCGCCGCTTTCCCACCCCCACTATCAACCTTACCACCATCCTCCTCACCTTCAACGATCCAAGAAAGTCAACCCCCAAGAACAATAGGTCTAATCCCCGCTTGGCTCGACCGCGCCCACCCCACCGTCCGCATCTGCTTCGACCAAGCCCTCACCCACCTCACCACCACCGCAGACCACGAAGCCCGGGAATTGGAAATCCCCTACCTCCCCGAAGGCCAACGCGCCCACGTCCTAACCATCATGGCCGAAATCGCGTCCGGCCTGCAACCCGCCCAAATTAGCCACCTCTCCGCCCCAAACAAGGTCCTCGTTTCCATGGGCATGTACCAGATCACCGGCCAGGATTTCCTGGCCGCCCAACGCCTCCGCCACTGCCTCATGGCGCATCTGGCCCACTTGTTCCAGCAACATCCCGGGCTGATCATCTGCACGCCCACCACCCCGATCCCCGGTTGGAGGATCCAAGGGCCAGAGGACTTGACGCGCGGATTGTCCGATGGGGGTGCCTCGGTTCGGAATATGGAGTATGTCTGGTTGGCGAATTTCACGGGGTGTCCGGCGATTTCGTGTCCCGTCGGGTGGGTGGATGCTGATGGTGGTGATGGTGGGAAGGTTCCGGTCGGGTTGATGGCGATGGCGGAGTGGGGAAAGGAGGAGGAGTTGATTACTTTTGCGAGGGACTTGGAGGGGGTGTTGGGGGCTGCTGAAGGGGGAGGAGGAGGTATCAGGGTTCCTGGTGGGGAGGGGGCGCTGTGGGAGGATATTATCGAGTTGGCCAAAAGGGCAAGTACCGCTTGATATCTGAACAATATACGAAAGATGATATGTCGATGAGCTGTCAACAGAAAGCATTGACTGCGATTCTTTGTGGTCATGTTTATGTGGAGGGTTTCTGCCGAACAAGGGGACTACGTTTCGGTGCTGATAATATGCCACGTGGGTAGGCTAATAGCCTCATTGAGCCCGTGTAAGGCAGTCAAAACTGATGTACTAAGAATACACTTCGTGACAGAAAACAACCAAGTAATAACAATAGCTGCTAGCAGCGATGGGACGTACAACGTAGAGGGTAAATATTCAACAGAACGCGTAGACCACAAGTACAACAACAACCTAGCAAATGTGGGTATTCAAAGAACTCTATACAGTATTAAGAATAAAAACAACGCAGGCTAAATGCCTTTCTCGGGGCAGCTGAATGACAGCCTCGATCAGCCTCAGAAGCACATATTTATGATGCTGCTTGTGGACCAGACATCTAGAGATAACCTCAGGTAAGTAGAGAATGGCCATACAACCAAACTAGATGAAGATGCTCTCCCCCCGGTCAGGAACACGGAATTCACACCCCAGCCCGGCAGATTTTCCCTGAGCTTGGAGTTCATGAAGAATGCGTTCCGCTGCAGGGGGACCGTCGGTCAGATGATCCTTGATATGGATAACATAGACCCTCAATCCAGCCAGGGGCGGCTCCGGCCATGTGTGTGTTGTGAGAGGATCAGAACTCTCGGCGAGTTGTGTATTGATCCCAACATCAGTCGCCGGTTGTGAGACAGTTGGGCTTCCTCCTTCTAGCTTCTCATCGGGCTCCTCGAATGATGCCTTGGCACGGGTGTGGCGACGGGTGCTTCGGTTGGATCCTCGGCGACTCGAAGATTGGCCCTTCTCTCCCGTGAGAGCCAGTCTCTTTGATTTGGGGCTGAGGGGTACATCTGTACCCACATCGGGAGCGGAAGCACGTTTGCGTTTCTTGGTTGCATTGGATTCCGGAAATTTGATCTCCTTAACAATGCTCGCAAGCGTTGTCAACTCGGAGATGAGATGTCGTGGACAAAGATGTCCGTAGAGATAATCGTCCTCAACGTCATCGTTGTAGGAACACTCGATAAAGATCGCGCGCAGCTGCTCACTAGCAATCTTCGGTGCCGCTACTTCCCAGACGCGCTTGTTGCGCGGGTTCCGGGAGATCGAGTCAGGCTCAACATCACCAAAAATCATCACTTCTCGTTTCGCGATCGGACAGCGTATGAAGAAGACAGAGCTTTCGACTGTGGTCCATTTTTCCTTTACAGGACCCCGAAGACCAGGCGAGTCCACCGGAGAATAGTACCTGACCTCAAGTTAGTACCACTCGATGCGCGAACCAGTGAATCTACATCTAAGCTTACCCCGTGTCTAGCTCATCCGTAGAAAATGAAAAGCCCCCAGGACTGATTTTCATCGGACCCGGGCCATAGGCTGCGCTGCTCAGCCGATGGCGGACGTCGTTCTCCGTAGGAGGATGCAGTCTGCAGCTTCCATGGCTGACACCAAAGCACTTCGCCACCAACCCCTCACATACTCGTTTGTATCCCCTCTCATCACCAATTCCCAGCATTGCTTCGCCTCCCTCGCGTAGGCGCTGATAAGTAACCAGTCCAGCGCCCCCCTCCTCATCTGACAAATTAGGCCAGATCACATCATTGAATACGTGGGTCTTGATGGCAGTGACCACGGACGGCAGAGCCGCAATTGTTTTCGCGCCATTTCCAGCTTCCAAGGCTGGCGTATTGATTGCGAACGCTGAAAGATGGTCCAGGTGGGGATGTGTGATGAGAATGGCACCGATAATGTGGCGGAAGAAATGTGCCGCGTTCGCAGGAGCATTGTTACAAGGCAGCTCGAGGCCGCTGAATGGTCCGACGTCCAAGACAGCTTGGTGATTGTCGAATTGCTCGAGAATGTTGATGACTCCGCAGAGAAGGGTCCCTGCATCCACTGCGATTACCGAATTTGCCGACCATTTACTCGATGTCGAGCGAACCAGTAAGCCTGTGACCCGATCTTCGCGTGGACCTCCCGTTGGGCCCTTTCATCCAAGTGTTAGTCACGAATTCTTGCATGCAGGCGACGCCGAATGAAACCGGAGAGAAGTCACACCATGAGAGCTGCACAGATGCAGCGAGAGGGTGCCAAGCCGCAAGGTGAGGGTGGAGCAAGTCCAGAGGATTGAGGCCGGCATGTCTTAGCACAGCATATCAAACCGGAGAACAAGCCATATGGATCGATTGGTAGGCACAGGGTGTGAGACAAACACAAGTCGCGGCTAACTTACCAAGACAACTACTTGCAAACCCGAGGTTCCTCCTTCGCTGCCCTTGGAAGGCGTTGCCTCACCATCGCGTTCCCCCACTTGCTGCATATTTCGCGCCGTATCTGATGGGATCATCTTGTGAGCATAGAAAAGCAACGAAGGAATGGTGTAGCACGTAAGGCAGGCTTTTGACTCACACTTCTCCCGTTCCTAGTCAAGTAGTTTCTTCGCCCCCTCCAAGTGCCCGGCCTCCTGCACGGAAACACGTCCTAATGGGATTTATGACGCTGGTGGTTGCGACCTACGCGTCAGTCTCTGCTGGAG